TAATAATAATAATAATAATAATAATAAACAATCTTTAAGTAGGAAGCGCCCGTCACGTAAATACGTGGTTTTCAGGGAGGTCCTCCGTAAGCTCATTTGGCAAACTGTTCCATAACTTGACGCTACTAACTTGAAAAGACGTTCCAGCTTCAGTAATATTACGAAACTTAGGACAGATTAAAATTATATTGGCCACGTCTGGTCTCTCTACCGTGGAGTGAGTGATTCGTAGTTAAAGAACTCTCAATATATATAGGGGATTCCCCAAGCAGCGCCTTATAGAGACATTTTACTTTAAGTTAGCAATTACTGATGAGAAAAGAATTTATGTGAAGAAATATCAAATTTAGTTGAATAAAGAAGAATCCCACAGAAAGTTCAACATTTCTTGTTGAGCATGCATTGTTGTGATTGACAGGTCAAGAAGCTACTCGCCAAACGTGCACGAAGTGAGGGAATGGGTGGATCTCCTCAGAAGAAGCACTCAACTGGAGGAGATTCTCCTCTTGTCTCTATGGATGTAAGTGTCGTGAAATAATTACTGCAGCTGTAAACTGACTTCATACATGAAGCAGCTTAACTTAGAGGCTTGCTATTTCTTCCGCAGATGATTAAGACTTAGGACTGTATAGTTCAAGATTCAGGGCAAAAACTGCACTGCAAGTAATTCTAATACATTTATCCTTGAGTGGATCATATTCTGTTGATTGATGTGTTGGTATTTAGTAATATCTAAAACAATCAATTTTTTTTTTGCCTTAGTCTGATCATGAAAACAACATCATAAGAGTGCAGGCACCAATGCTCAACAAAGTTCTCATGGCAATTCAGCTGACTGAGTCCATGCGTGCTGGTGACATTGTCTCCAAGTTCCGTCGCCGAACATCTCCATCAGAGAGCCCAGATGAAAGCTCCAAATTTTTAGAATCTTCATCTAATAATTGCTATCGCAACTGTGTCAATCCTCACAACAACAACAGATTTGCATCTGATAACTTTTTTCTCTATGAGGCCGGCGGAAACATAGGTACTAAGCAGTTTGTTGTCTTGTGTGATCGTTATTCCTACTTGAAGTAGTTTGACAGTCACTAACTGAGAGTAAGGCAGCTGTTTTCAACTGGTGACTGGTGAGTAAGGCAGCTGTTTTCAACTGGTGACTGCACCATGGTTCATCATGATGTCTGTTCGTTGATATGTCATGTGACAGTCTTCACGTTTTGCAAAATTGTTGCTGATACTCACGTTTGCTGCTTGATTAGTCCTACAAATACCCCATATTTTACTTTTAACACTATTTAGCGTTAGTAGCCAGTTCTGTACACAACTAAATCTGTATTACACAGATTCGAGTACACATGTAGACATCTGTTTTATATTTCTTATGTGACAATTTGTAATTTGATTGACAGGTGAGCGCTGCCTTGATAATGATACGAATATGATGGCCTTACTGAAAGTCAACCCGCATGCAGAGTGGATTGTTAAACCACGAGATTATTATCTTAACTTGTAGGAGCGCCAGTAAAAAGTGTTTTATGCATTGTTAGCCTTACTGAATTGTTGTACAGGAAGTGTGCTAGCAAAGTATGATGCAAATTACCTTTTCAGATCTTCTTTTTATTAGTCTGAAATATTTCTGCAGAAAAGTCACCTATTTCTACTGATGGAAAAATTAATTATTAGAACTTAACAAAATTATTGCATTGGTTGTTAAATCAATTGAATACACCAGTGTTACTAATTTATTCAAATTAGAGTGAGAGAGAGAAAACATTTTGTAACCATGATAGATCTCTTTTTAGGTAAGTACGGCATTGTGCTATATATTTAAATGATCTAGAATAATAATGAATGATAGGAAACAGTGATGTAATATAAAGTCTTCCATGCAACGTTTGTATAGTTTAATTGTTTTTCAGGAGAACGAACATTTGTTTTATAAAGGTGTCCTTGGTAATAGTCAGCGTGTTTACTGTCATCGTTCAAACAAAAATACAGATTGTACCGTTTACTTAATTGAGAATCATTCTTGAAATATTAAAAATTTGTACTCCCGAGGGAACCAAATTAAATACTTTTATTTCTCCTACAAATTTTCTTACCTTTAGCAAAAAAAAAAAGTTTCGCACATGCGCCCTGGCGTATCGTTACAGAATATAAACACCATGTTAATAAGAACAGTTGTGAACTTGAATTAAATCAACCCGTTTACGAAGAGTAATGATTTTCGTCGGGTTGTGGCGACTGTAAGGTCACAAAAAGGCCAGTATATTCAAAAGCGCCACACGGTCTACACGAATGCGTACACATCCGGGACTTTTTGGCTCCACAGAATGTTCTTGGCACGTTCTTGGCTTTAATGAACCACTTGTTTTGAACAGTCCAGGATTTCAACGTGGGTCTCATGTTCTCGTGAGTCGTCACCTTTCTGGACACGCACGAGTGATTCAAGTGTTCACAACCGCTCTTAATTGTTCTTATTTGCCTCCAACAAACGGTTCATTAGGATACAACGAACGGGCTTTACGATTTCGCTCTAATGAATGGGGCTGCAGAAAACTTATTCGAGCCAAAAACCCATGCAGTTAGACGAGCCAATCAGGGGAGAGCTGAGTAACCCACTTGCACAAGACTTAAAGCGGCGCACTTTTTGAAATTATCACAAGCTTCGAGAAATTCAACTTCAGTGATCAACTCTCTCAAAATTTTAGCCCCACGGTGTTTTCTCCTTTGGAAGACTCCTTTCGTAATATAGTTAAGGAACAATTCAAGAACAGTTTATACAATTTCTATTACTACATTCCAGAAGTTCGAAACATCAGTCTTAGTAAATAAATACAACTAACACTGGCAGTCTATACTTCATATGATTTAGTTGACCTTTTGGCAAACCTCGGTATTTTATCATTCCTTTCAAGCATTCTTTTGTGTTCCAGTCAAGCATAGTCAAGTCAACTGCAATCAAATACGGCACAGTGTAGGCAGTCAAGTGCAGTGCATCCAAGTTAAGGCCAGTGTTGTGCAAAGCTCTCCTATGTCGTACAATCTTGTCGAGTACATCTACGTACAGTTAAGCACAGTCTAATTCAGTTTCATTTAGAAACGTGCAATGCAGTCCAGCTCAGTCAAATTAACTTGAAAGTGATACATTGCGGTCCCGTCCAATTTAGTGAGGTGGCATTCAGAAAAGTGCAGATTCAAGTCCGGTCTAATCTTTGGTTTTCACTCCGACACAATAGTGTCTACATATACTGTATTAAAGGGCTATTTCTAAATGATAGTTTGATAAGAGTAAACCTAATTCAAGTAGAGCGAAAATAGCTGATCAATAAGAGATGAAATTAAGATATAAAAGTATATCTTTATAACTAATAAAAGTGATTAAATTCATGAAAAAAAAAACAAATGGTCGATTAATAGAAAGATGAGTAAATATGTGGTTAAGTTGATGAGTAAAAAGATTAATAAATAAATACAGTTTAATTGTACGACCAATGTATTTATGATTTTTAAAGCGGAATATTAAACTGACAACGTATGTAAACAGTTTGCCAGGTATGTTTTTTTTTTCGTACAAGACCCACCGCAGTTTAATATGAGCCACCTTCAGAGCTGTGCATTACTGAGTAGGTAAGTAGGTATCATTATTTTTTGATATTGATCTTTGAAAGATGGGTTTGTTCGCTGATAGAAAAACCCTGATGCGTCGCATCGAGCAGTTGGAGACAAAAGATTATTATCCATCAGCACTACAAGTCTGAGTCATCTGACACAAGTAAGGCCGAAATGTTTTAATTGCAACAAGTTTTGTTCGACGTTTTCCCTTCAACATGATCTCGTAACTCACTTCGGATCATCTCATGACGAAGGAAAAGCATCTTACGCCCTAGAGGCAACATGTTATAATTTGAAAGGAGTACTCTTGGTTCTAGACTATCCGAACTTTTACGTTTATAGAGATTATGAGGAGTCTCACGGCCGATTCACTATTTTGATGACAAGGCGTTTAAGAACTCACGAGGTGACAATGTTTTGATGACAAAGTTTAACAACTCACCAAGTGACACGTTTATTATTTCAAGAACTTTTTGTATCGTAAACGTCTATTTGTTGATCATTTCTATAAGATATAGTATAGCTGAGTAGTTTGCGTTGTCATGAAGTTGCAGGAAAGAATATAAAAAAAACGCCTTTTTTATTCGAGAGCTTGGATCATGTTGAATAACTGCAGCTCAAGATGAAGCCAATTATCAGAGCTATCCATCACTAAGCCGGTTGGTAATGAATTTTTGATAATTTGTGATATCAGTCTTTGAAAGATGAGTTTGTTCGCTGAAAAGGAAACCTGATGTGTCGCACCGAGCAGTTGGCGAAAAAAGTTTTTGTTTATTAGCAGTACAAGTCATCTGAAGGAGGTAAGGATGAAATGTTTTGATTGCAACAAATTTTGTTAGACTTTATTTTTTAAGCATGACATCTTGACTTACTTCGAATCGTATCATAAAGAAGGAGAACATCTGACGCCTTAGAGGTAACATGAATCCATTTGTAAGAAGTACTCTTGGTTTTGGATTATCTGCACTTCTTCTGTTTACAGAACGCGGGAGGAGTCTTCGCGGCCGACTAGATATTTTTTATTACAACGTTTACTAACTCCCGAGGTAATATTTCTATCATTTTCAGAAATTGTGGCATCCCCAAACTTTTTTGTTCTCAATGGAGAAGGCTTTTGATAGCTAGTGCTTTTAAACAAGGCGCAGATATCCAATCAGCAGCCCACGAGACTGGTCACAGATGATGATAAAAAAAAAAAGTCTTTTTATAGGATTACACAATTACTGGTGAACCAGTAGTTTCCATTGTGGTCCTTGCAAACAAATGAAATAAATGGTCTAAATTGAACATAACATCATCAAGAACATCATTAAGAACCCCAACTGGCCGGAGGCAAACCAGTTGGCTATTTACAAGCGTGGCCAAGAATCTGAACTCGGGGCTACCGTAAACATTGACAAATCCAGTGGTCAGGGTGGGACTCGAACCCGGGAGCGGCGGATTACGAGTCCGACACTCTAACCACTCGGCCACACTGCCTCAACAAGTGAAAATATTTCGTTAAGGGACAATTCAAGAACAATTTATACGACTTCCATTGTTACATTTCATTGGCTCGAGAATCAATCATTGTAAATAAATACAACTAACACTAGTAGTCCATACTTCATATGATTTAGTTGATCTTTTGGCGAACCTCAGTATATTATCAATCCTTTTAAGCAGTCTTTTGTGTTCAAGTCAAGTATAGTCAAGTCAAGTGCCATCAACTACAGCACACTTTAGGCACTGATCAAGTGCAGTGCATCCAAGTTAAGGCCAGTGTAATATTTATTTATTTATTTATTTAATCACTTTCACCAGAGTGTGGTGAGGGTCGCACAACAGAGCGAGGCTCCAAATTAAGTGCGCCCTATATCCCACCAATCCCACCCCAGGGGAGGACATCCATCACACAGTAATCTCGTGTGTGGGAAATTAACGTCTCCTACCCCAACCCTGCAGGAGACGGGACCTCCATTTATTCGTCCCTATCCGAGAAGACTAGAATATCTAACCATTTCTTGATGTTATAGAAAGGTAGCAAATTCTTCTCAATTATTTTAAGACCTCTGAGTGTTGTGCAAAGCTCTCCTGTGTCGTCTGATCCTGTCGAGTACATCTACGTGCAGTTAAGTACAGTCAGCCAATCAGAAAAGCGGACATTCAAGTGCG